ACGTAAGGAGAAATTACTCATTTGTCACTCCTTACAGCGAAGTAATATCACAGCACGTGAAGGAATGAATGATGGTGAAAATGAGTTATTATACGGTTGCCTTCTGGTGGGTCTTTAAATCGTATGATCGAATCACGTGTCAACCTTTCCTTGACCCTTATCAATTTAAGTTGATTTTCAAGTTAATTACATAACTTTAACTTGTTACGTAAGACAATTTCTGACGTCTCTTATTTTACAAAGGCGCTCTTGTAAAGATGAATGCTCGTTGTTCATGAATCTGGCGACTGTCTCTCCTTCACCGATTCTTTAAAAATAAACGGTTCCTTTTTAATTTCATTTTGCATCCAGTTAGATAGTCTAATCCCGAATTTGAATAAGGGGGGGGTAAGTTTCTAAAGAAACTGTGGTGCTGCATTGGCGGGGGTAACAAGCTAATTTGGTTAGATCAACTAAGTTGAAATTGTAATTTGACCACCGTAGAGAGTTAAAAAGCTAACGTTTCGCGCGTTAGCCCTTCGTCAGAGCAAAGGGCTAACGACGGGCTCTGACGAGGGGTTAACGCTCGAAACGTCAGCTTTTTAACTCTTTACGGAGGCCAATTTACAATTTAAACTTAGTTGATATAACCAAATTACCTAATCCTAATTTGGTACGTTTTCCAAGAGAGTTGAGCTTATATCTCTTTGTTATGTTTTATTAACAGAGACTTATCGCACGGATCTCTTTCAAGATTATCAAAGAATTAGTTTTCAGGACTGTACAAATTGAAAACACTGTAAGTTCTCACGGTATGGTTTTCGTATCCATCACAGTTAGAAATGTTGAGAGAGATTTCTTATTCGCTTCGTTGTACAAGCAGAAAATGGTACTCACCATGCGTTGCGTTGGTAACCACGCCTGACATAAATCATATGTTTACCCACCATTGTCATTGGTTTTTGCATCTTTCCCGCGCTTTTTCACGATTGCATTTTCTGATACACTTGTTAACATGTTTCATGTTTTCCCGCGCCTCTCAGTGGCTACACGTTTTCCGTGCTTGTCATTGGCTGTGTATTTTCCCGCGCTTGTCAAAAGTAACACTTTTCAGTTTTTACCCCTTTCATTAGTCACACGTTTCACAGCGCTCGCATTTGGGTTTACTTGTTTTCCACTTTCCTGCTAAAATTCTCTTTCGTCTTTTATTGATACAAATTTCTTAGTTCGTGCTTGTGACAGTTTATGTTTTACCGTGTTTGCTTGTGACAAATCATATTCAGGACGTGTTTTCCGTGCCTCGCAAAAGTCACACGCTCCCGGGATCAGACCTCGGACACTTTCCTCCATCTCTGATTGGTTCCTTTCGATGCTTCCACCTTAATGTCTAGGATTTTATTTTCAGTTTGCCTTTTCAGAAATCAAGAATGAAACTCTTTTCTCTTTGCTGCTTTTTTAGTTTTGACATTTTTTCTTTTTCTCCACATTCAGTGATCTTTCGAATAATAACATCAAATCGCTACCACAAAATGTTTTTGATGAGATGCCTAACCTTCGGGAAGTGTAAGTGTGAAATTTCGGATCACCTATTAGTTACTTCTCGGTATGCATATCGTCATAATGACTTTTCTCCATACACTTCCCAAGTCCCTGACAANTGCTAAATCAGTTTTCCTCTATCCTATTACAACAGACATCGACGAATGTAGCGGTTCAAACCCTTCTAACGACTGCGCGGAGACTGGGGGAGTTTGCATCAACACACACGGAAGCTACAAGTGTAAATGTGAGAAAGGATATAAGGGGAATGGGAAGCAATGTACAGGTAATCACGTGATATCTTAGTCTTCGGCATTAGCTGTTCTTGGGTCTTGTCAGTAGACGTGTTCTCAAGCAGTAGTGTCATTTAGGTACCATAATTATGAAAATCTCGAAGTCGTGTTTCCATTTATCACATAACGAATGGAAAAGAGACCGGGAAAATAAATTCAGTTTAGGATTGTTGTGTTTCTATCGAGAAAATACTGTGACGCCTCTTTTATTGAGTTACAATTAGAAACGATTTAAAACTGCGGAAGAATGGAACCTTTTCTTTAGAAAAAAATTGTGTCTTCTTTGAAAAGTTGAAAACATTACGTAGCAATTTCACCGATGGGGCTTTTTGGCGGGAATTGTGTCTTCTAAAACTAATTGTTTATCCTTTAAAGTTTGCAGGTATCCTATAACAGTAACTGATGTTTTTTTCTCTCTTCTCCAAGATATAAACGAATGTGTGGAACACGACTGCGACCAAGGAGACTGTCAGAACACTCAGGGAAGCTTTAGATGTGACTGTTTTTCTGGATATGCTATGAACGCAGAACGAGTCTGTGTGGGTATGTGCTGGTTGTTTGTTTTGAGATAATATTTCAAACGAATGTTTTCTCTTCCCCCCCAACCCCCCCCTCACGTGGTGTGTTTTGTTCCCACGCGCAGCACGCATGATTTAATGTCTTTAGTACTTAGATTTGAAATTGCTTTTTAATGAGTGTCTTTGTTCGTTCGCATGAGGAAAATATGTTAAAACACTCTTGCTATTAATTAATGTGTTGCATAAAACGGGAGTAAAAAATACTAGTAACTCTTAGATCTGTTGACGAGTTTAAAGTTATGACGCGACTTAACCTTTTACAGATGTCGATGAATGCGAGATTGGTAACAACACCTGCGAAGCCATTCCTCACAGTTATTGTGTCAACTTGGAGAAGTTTCTTCCTGAGGACGAAGGTTATCGCTGCAAGTGTGAGACTGGGTACAAAAAACTTGGCAAGAGCTGCGTTTTTGAAGGTCAGCAGACGAGTTTAAAACAAAGCACATATAGCAAACTAAATGCTGGGAAACCCCTCTTTCCTCCCGCTATCAGATGAAATCCAAGCGCAATGGTGTATAACTCATTGGTGTATAAAAGTTTCCAAGCGAGTTCTTACGAAAATTGCGACGGAAAATTCTTGAAGATCATGCAAAGTTACAAGGCCCTGGTGCTAATCCTGTATTCGCGATCCTTTTATTCACGCACGACGCTTCGTTTCAGGTAACATGAAGGAGTGGATTAAGTTCCTCGCGATTATCATCGGAGGCTTTGTCGGTATCCTGTTCTTGATCATCCTCTGTGCTGTGATTTTCAGTAAATGGAGAAACAGGTGAGGGAGAAAATAACCCTCTGTCATTTGTAAAATTGTGACTGTTCCTGGTAGGAGTACATTGTGATACTGGGAAAGCGAAGGGGGAAGGGGGTACCCAAAGGACGTCTGTTGAAGGGGCAAGGGGCACGCTAATGATCTCTAGGAGAAGGAGGAAGGGGGCATGCTAAAGAAGTCTATGTGAGGACGGGAGGGGTGCCCAAGAAAAGTCTGGAGGGAGGAAAGAGGAGGCAGGTGATTGTGACTGTTCCTGATAAGAGTGCATTGTGACTCTAGGAAGCGGAAGGAGGAGGTGCCGGAAGGAGGAGGTGCCAAAAGAAGTAGAAGAGGGGAATGGGCAAGCTAGTGAGTTCCGGGAGATGGAGGAAGGGGGCATCCCAAAGAAGTCTGAGAGAAAGGAGAAGGGGAAAAAATTAGAGAAGTCTAGGACAAATTGGGAAGGGGCACATTATAAGGGAGTCTGAGGGTAGGGGAGAAGGAGGGTACATCCTTGGGAGGTCTGGGCGAAGTACGCCACCGACACCACATCTGATTATCATGACATACCGAGCACGGACAGTTTGGTAGAAGAGAAAAAGATGGTAACATGTGCATACACGTCCACGCATGGAGATGTATGGCAAAACTCCACAATTACCACAAGGTAACCCTTTAGGTCGACTTAAAATGACTACTTGTAATCCTGAACGGTAAATACCGGTTTTTGTAAGGACGCCTAAGTCAGAGAAGAAAGATGAGGTCGTGGTGGCTCCGGTTGGCTTGGCACCTCCAGTAGACTTTGCCTATCTTGATATGCCTCAAACTCAGCAAACAGGACAGGACGAGGACGACTGGAAAGAGCTAGAAGACGAAGACGTGGAGGACGACGACGAGGACTAAGTCATCAGGCCAGAAGCGAGTCAGACTGTTGTTTGCTTTGTCAGCGGTTCTTTCTTCTTAATAAAGAAAACTCAAAAGATCTTACAATGTTTCAGGAACTTGGTTTGTATGAAGAAAAAAAAAGTGGTAAATTTTTAACGAATTCTCTTTAGATTGGACTCCTGATCGAGCGGTTTCACTTTGAGTCCATCCGGGGGGTCCCTGTGCTAGGTGCCCACGCAGGACACAATGCTCTCAGACTTAGCATGTAACTCTCTTCATCTAGATACCGTAATTCCTCTATTACGCCCCCCTCTAAAAAGCCTCCCCTTCTAATAAGCCCCTCCTCTTTAGAGAGAGAAATTCATTAAGCTCCCCTTCTAATAAGCCACCCCCCTCCCAAAAGTACTTGAAATAAATAAGCCCCACCAGTGGCTTATATTAGAGGATTTACAGTTAATATGAATCCCGTGGGTAAAGCGTCTCGTGTTTACAGAAGTGTTTTGAATTCTCCCGATCCCCGTCGTGTTTGGATTCGGAAAACGCACCATTCTACTTGATTAAAATACTAATGCAGTTTTGCAGTGCTCAAGGAACATCTCGTCAGAATAAAATTTGATCGCTTGTATTCAATTATCATCAGTTCCCTCTAACATTAGCCTGACAAGGAGAATTAATGAGTTTTGAATATATGAAAATCATATATATGTCATGCGGTTTTACAAAATGTATGAAAACGATCCTCGCAGTAATATAAATTACTAAAATAGTGGTGAAAATAAGGCCTGAAAAAAAAAAAAATACGAAAGTCTCAGTACTAATGATCTTGCCTAATTCAACAGGAACGAAGTCTACTAGAAATTGAAAACGATAAATGCTCTACTTTGCGAAGAAACAAAGTCTTTGAATATTTAAACCCATTTGAATATATAAATTGAACCTTCTTCGCTGAAGAGAATGAGTTAATCAACAGCTTCTTTAGTTGGTGAACGTCTCCGTTATTCTTGTGACCTAAATGTGTGATTAAGGAGTGACGTATTATCCAAAACAGAAACCTCTAGGTTTAGAGTTGATAAAGAGCAAACAAAAGGAAAACTTTTTCTTTTTTGAAGCAAAGCTTCTTTTTTGAAGCAAAGCTGTACTTTTATTCTTTGTTTGAAATCAGTCCTTATATATATATATATATAGTTTTTTGCGTTTTCATCTGTCCAAAAAGGAGGATAATTCCTGCATTTAATGCAGAAGTTTCAACTTATATTCAAAGAGATTTTTACTTACGATTCGGAAAGTCTCATCCCATAATAGTCGACGTTAAGTTCATCTTTTATCTTAGTCCGGAAAATGCTACGAACCTAATTAGATATATAAATTGAACCTATCCAATTGTTATCAATGGGAAAGCAATAGAGGTAGTGTCCATTGTTAAGTTTTTAGGGCTAAACATTTCTTCAGACCTTCGGTGGAACTGTCATGTTGCTGTAAAAAGTAAAAAAGTAGCGAGTCGATTATATTTTCTTAAACAACTTAGGAGAGCGAATATTCCCGCCAAAGATCTGCTCATCTTTTACACGACATGTATCCGCCCAGTAATGGAACACGCATGCCCGGTGTTTCACAAAGCGCTTCCCGCATACTTATCTGTTGAGTTACAACAGCTACAGAAAGTCATTGGAAACCGAAAGGACATGATTTCACATTTGTCCTGACCGACACCGAAAGACATAATTTTCTCAACAGTAGCTACAAACTGTTTGGTATTTGACAAAAAAATAGGGTAAACGACGAGGTTAAAAGGAGGCTTTATTTGGAGAAACCGTGAAATTCAAAACTTGTTTTCAAAAGCCAACCGCTTACGGTTTCATTGCCCAAAACTGTGCTCGTTCGTCAGTTTATCCTTACGGTGGCTACGCAGTCATTAAATGTTGAATATAATGATAAAAAAAAAAAAACTTCAGCGCGTTTGGAGTATGTTGAGTACCAGCTAATAATATACACTTCTATGTAGCATGTAATTGGCTATTATATAATGCTGATTACTGATAATTAGCTCGCACTGAGGCATTATGCATCAACCTCCTTATTATTGCGAATCGTAACATTACTTACGATCTCAATGACCTTCATCCAGAAAACAGGATGTCTTAAAATCTTCCATCGTGATTCACCTCGGTAAAGTAGTGCCATTGCTCGGAGAGAGACGAGTTCAGGCAACGTGCTAGGACAGGCGAGTCTTCTGTCGCCCCGTCACCTACGCATTTGTCATTAAAGGGGAGAAAGACTGGAACTAGTAAGAGGGGAGGGGCCAAGTGGGGATTGTCTCTCAAAGATAAAGACCGTAATGTTATTTTTGTGTCAAAAGGCGGATGAATTGACATTAAAAGGGAACTCGTGCACGGACGATCGGGCACTTTGTTTGACGTCATTAAAAGGATCTATGAGATTTGTTTGTGACGTCAGAAACGATGGAATGGTGCTCTCTTCAGAACAGCCTTACGACAATGAAGAAAACTTCCATTTTTCTTTGTTTTCTGATTCTTGCTTGCGCCCTTTTGTCCACTCTAGTTTTCGGTGATACCTCATGCAGTCCGATAGAACATAACAAGAACTCACCAAAGTCATACAGATGTACTAAGAGGGACGGCATCCTACGGCCGATCGCTCTTAAAGATGATGGGCTTTCGCCTTTATTAATCCACCTGTAAGTGCAGCCGCGAGAAACTTGAGCCAAAGAATGGAACAAGTAGGGCGTTATCTGGGATAAATAATGTCAGCTCTAAATGAATAATGTCAGCTCTAAACGAAAACGGAAGACTATTTCTCCGGACGTACGCACTATAAAATCTGCTGGGAGTTTACCATTTAGG